GTGTTAAAATAACACTAGGGAGTGTTAAATCAACACCCAAAAGTTTAACACTGAAATTTTAACACTCCTGTTTTGGGTGTGATATGCTTCAAGTCCAGACTCTTGTACGAAGCAAAGTGAAGGACAGGGTCTGGTTTTAACCAGGCTATGTTGCCTCAGGACATTACAGGATTTCTCAAACATGCATGAATGAGTCAAAGCAAGGCTTTGGGCATGTTTTTGATGAGAGGATAACATTATAACATGATATAAAACTCAAAAACGTTGATTTTACATGACATTGCCCTTTTTAAATATTCATTTATTTTTAGGCAATGAAAGCACACTGCCTCAAAATAAATTTGTGTATTCTGGCCATCAGCTGCACTGATTTCTAAAAGTTGATATTGGCCATAGAAATCTCATTTTGGTTGACCTATAACCTTAATAATTTTTTAATTAAGGAAAAATATAAAAACAGTAGGCTAATTTTTGAAAGCCCTACTATAATCTGAAAAGAAAACCTTTCCAAATTTGGCCTTGAATTGTTCAGGAAATGATAATATTGGAGCTCTGTTGAAACACACAAAATATGCTGCAATAATTAAAGCATGTGTGTAGACCTACTTGAACAGAGGAAACACTTGGTTCACCTGCTATTTGTGCTCTTCCAAATTGGCTGCCACTTCGGCCTGGTTGTTTGATGTTGCCAGGCAACGTYACAACGCTGCAGAAAAATAAATAAATAAAACAAAGGAGATGAAGGGGAAAGAGGAGACGGGAGACCCGAAACGATAAGCCAAAGAGGTCAGTCGGTGCATCTGAAATATTTCTGTTCTGATTTCTATTCTACTTTATTAATATAAAACCTTTTAATCTTTTAAAGTGTTCAGTTTGTGTTGGGTCGAGTGTCTCTGTGACCTAAAACAACTGAGAATAATCACTTCACTGTCTTTACTGCACGAGCTGCTGCTTTGGCAGTGACTGTAAGAGAGATGGGGTCAGAGTCTGTGAAGGTGGTGGTCAGGTGCAGGCCCCTGAATGACCGGGAGAAGTCTCTGAACTCCAAGACGGTGCTGACCATGGAACAGGACCGCTGCCAGTGCTTCATTGAAAAACCCGGAGYGGTGGACGAGCCGCCGAAGCAGTTCACCTTCGATGGAGCCTATTATATCGATCAAACCACGGAACAGCTGTACAACGAGATCGCCTACGCTTTGGTTGAGGTGAGCTGTGTTTTTTTATGAAGTCACCCGACACTCTGGGGTCACAGAGGTCTCATTATTTACTAACCATGGCGCTGTCAACCACAAGCGTGCTGACCTTTAAACAGCAGGGGTGGAGCCAGGGGGTGGCCAGGGGTGGCCATGACCACCACAGACAAATCTTTGGCCACCCCATTGGCCACCCTGTTGTACACAGTGAAACAACTTTTAAGGGCTCGACCCACGGGAGGCGACGTCGCTCCCTCTCCATTCATTTCTTATGGAGCCTGTGCGGTGAGGCGACAATCGTTTACCCTCCTCCAGCTAAGCGACTGGCGAAAATAGTGCATGTGAAATTTCGCGCTCGTACACGTAGACGTGCACACGCGAGCTTGCGACG